TGTTAGAATCATTCCATTGTCTTTCCTTTTCCTATGCCCCCTCCCTTCCCTTCATCCCCTTTTGTCTAATCCACTGAACTACTCTTCTTCTTCTTCTTCTTTTTTTTTTAATCCTCCTCCCTTATTGTGGGTTAGTTACCACGTATCAAAGAATAAAACATTCAATCTTTGGTTCTTTGGGGATTGGCTTATTTCATTTAGCATGGTAGTCTCCAGATCCCTCCATTTACTGGCAAAAGTCATAAAGTCATTCTTCTTTATGGCTGAGTAATACTCCAATGTGTATATATACCACATTTTCTTTATTCATTCATCGGTTGAAGGGCACCTAAACTGGCTCTGTGGCTTAGCTATTGGGCATCAAGCTGCTATAAACATTGATGTGGCTGTGTCGCTGTAGTATGCTGATTTTGAACCCTTAGGATATGTACAGAAGAATGGAATAACTGGGCCAAGTGGTGGTTCCATTCCTAGATTTTTGAGGCATCATAATACTGCTTTCCAGAGTGGTTGAACCAATTTTTAGTTTTCTCACTTTTTCTCTGCCTGGTTTACTATGAAGAAAAATGCCAAGGAGGGATTTGTTAAATTCTCATGGCTGGTTCTGCTGCTGGTTCTAGCCAAAGAATAACTAAATAAATATCACCGTCTCCAGCACCTAGGGAATACGGCTTTCTTATTTTCTTCTTAGATTTAGGGCTTGGCTCACCCATAGTTACATGGCTGGAGTGGTCAGTTCTTCTGCGGGGTTTTCCCACTTCTAGTCACACTTCAGCTAGTGTTGGCTGAAAGGTGTTTGTGAGGTGGTATAGATGCATCATGGGCCCATTGGGAGGAGGGAGGAAGGAAGATTCTAGGCTGAGATTCCAGGAGTGGGCTGCTATGGGAGCTGCTGCTTCTGCCGGCCTCAGAAAGCTGCAGCCCCTACCACCTGCCCCAGGTCCACCTGCTTTTGCTACAGGTAAATGGACCTTCCATATAGGTCCTCTCGTTCCTCATAACTTGATTTCAACTCAGAGTCTTGAATGAGTGTACCAGGTGAAATAGATCCCAGATCACATCCCAAACCTCCACTGAGTGGACATGTGAGCAATGCAGTTTCTGGGGTTGGGACCGCTGCAGTGGAGGACGCTCTGTCATGGCGGGTGTGGATGCCGAGCATGGCAGTCTGGTCTGCTTCATCTGCGTTCTGAACCCTGGGGCTCATTCTGGTGATTCCAGCAGTTTTCTCTCCTGTGCTTGAAGACCGGGGCAGCTGGAAAATCATAAGCAATTTTTCCTTTTCAGATTCTATGTTCAGGGGTGTGTGCTCCCAGGCAAGATTTGATCTAGGTTGGGCCGGTTTAACCTGACAGAAGTCTGGAGGAACACAGAGGAAAAGCTAATCAAAAGAGATGATATTCAGGCTCTAAGCCCCAAGAGTGGGAAGTCATGGTTGGTTTTGCTCATTTTTAATAGTGGCAGTATGAACACAGGAGCTTGATAGAGTGAAGGCACTCAATAAATATTTGTTAAGCAAACAAATGAATGAATAAAAGAAGAATAGGGAGAGAAGCCCTTTGGCATTAAACCCTAGGCAAATTCATAGGAGCTTGTGTTTGTTTAGCAAATGCTAATAATGCTTGTTATCTGCCAGGCACTTCAAATATTCTCAGAGCTTCACAAAAATTAACTCATTTAATGCTCATAATTGCTCTATGAGATGCTACTATTATTAATCCCATTTTAAAACCCAAGTAAGAGAAGTCATGTGATTTGCCAAGACGTGGTGGAGTTAGGAGTCCACTGGACTGGGTTGCCTCCAGTATCTTTGTTGCTCTGGGACTTACCATTATTGATCTGACCCATGTGGAGCACCCTGAGTTTGCTCAATGTTCATTGAAAAGCACTTGTCCTTATTCCTTCTTTAGATTGTCTCCCAGTCTCTTCCAGTGTCCACTAGGCTTTGCCTGCCCAAGTATCTTTCCCTCAGTTTCCCTCCTGTCCCAGATGGGCAGGTGTCCTGCTGAGCCAGCAAGAGGCTTGGCCCCTGAATGAATTCCAGGGCAGGGATGTGGCTGGGAGAGACATCTGCAGCCCTCTTTGGACCTTTGACTGCCCTGATTGCTGCAGCTTCCCACAGCTTTCTCTCTCTCTCTCTCTCTCTCTCTCTCTCTCTCTCTCTCTCTCTGTGTGTGTGTGTGTGTGTGTTTCTTTCTGGAAATGCTGGGGAGACCATGACAGCAATACAAAGCATCATGTCCCCCACTGTCTACTGGGACCTGTGACCGACCTTCTCCGTGGCTGGCTTCTTTGAAGGTAATAGGTGTCTTGGAAAGCCAGAGATGGAGTTCTGTCAAAACCCTCTGGCCCAGGAGAGCATGGTATTTACAAGTGCTCTGGAGAGCAGCTCTTTTTACAGATTCAGCCTGGATTATTTGCAAAAACAAAACAAAACAACAAACAAACAAACAAAAACCCAGAGACTCTGCTGGCATCCTCATAGATAGCACAGGGCTACCGAGGAAGGCGTCCTCTTTCCCACACAAACAGTAGGGGCAGGGAGGAGTGGTGTGTTCTTTCTTCAGCGTTCATTCCATCTATCCCCCTGCCTCCAAGTAGTGCAACTGTTCCTCAGCTTAGATACTCGTTTTGAGTTCCCTTTCTTCTGGGAAGGCACCTGGCAATTAGGAAGTCCTGACATCTAATGCATCCTGTTCCAGGACTGCAGAAGTCTAGCCCAATGGCTTTTGGTGTAGGGGAAAAGCCAGCCACATGTGGATTTGCTGCCCTTGACAAAGGATTTCCCACACTATGAGGGGGTTGAGGTTCCCTTTGTGCAAGTTTGGAAGTGCCCTTGTGACCTTGTCTCAGGCCCAGAGAATTCTGTAGCCCTGGACTTGCCTCTCTTTTTTGAGTCACAAAACTTCCCTGCTCCATCTCTGTGAGTATATTTTTTCTTTGAATTTTTTTTTTCTCCCTTCAGTGTTTACATGAACTGGTTGAACCCATCATGTGGTGAGTCCATGTTTATATTTGCAGAATCATTGCCCAGGGAAGTTCTGTTTGCATCAAGGTCACCCCATCTCCTGGGCTTGGCTGCAGCCCATGCTGGGGTTTCAGTAGCAGTAGCTGAGCACACCCCAGGGCCATGCTCCTCTTCTCATTTCTCTCTCTGCCCCAGGTTCAAGGTCCCTAGTCCCACTGTGCCTCCTAGACTAGAAGGAAGAGGCTAACTCTCTTGAGAGTTAGCCTCCCTTCCCATCCTTATCCCAATCTAGTTTTCCCAGGTGTCTCCTTTCTTAGGATCTTGCTGTTGTGCATGGTCTTAGAGCCGGACTTGGTTTGATGGAGTAAATGGTAGAATTTAGAGATTCACTGTTGTTCACCTCCCTTTTACTGGGATGATGATGTAGGAAGGTTGAAACCATGAACTAGGTTCGTGGATAATTAGAATCATGCCTTTGCTAGTTACTAGCTGTGTGGCCTTGGACAATACCTCTAAGGCTCCGTTTCATCATCTTAAATGAGTATAATAATACTATCCCTTAAGATTGTTAGGGGATTAACTTAGGGGATGGGCAAAACATGTTTTGATGATGATGATGGTGGTGGTGATAATAATAACTATTATGGACATAAGGATTAGAAACTTTCCTCCATTCATTTTCCTCCTCGGTTAGAGAGGTGTTTATCAACACCCCCGCCCCCCCCCCCCCCATTTACCACTCCCTTTAGGAGTCTTCCTATACACTGATTTCTTTATCATTTCCTCCTTTCTTCCATAGACGTCTGTTCACATACTGTGATGCTTTAGAGATCATGAGTTATTGTAATAGTTAAGATCCAACAGCAATATTGTCCCTGTTAAAAATGCATGTGTTAGAGAGAGGTTCTTCTCTCTGGAGAATTGTGCAGGTTATTGTTGGTCGTTGATGGAATGGCAAGTCAACCCCAGTGTAGCCCTTTTGTGGGGCTGGCTGTCCACAAGAGAGGAAAATCAAATGCTTGTACAATAATGGGACTCACTGACCAAAAGGGTAGGGCAAGAATCTTTACCCCGTGTGTACCCTTCTTTCTCCCACCTGTTTAGGCCTTAGAACACTGTTGGGAGAACCCGGGGACCTATAGTCACCCATCATCTGGCACCCTTGCTTTCCCTGGTATCTTTAAGTCTGAGTGGCAACCAACATACTGGTGCTGACCGTAGGCTGCGTGAATAGCTCTACCTGAGACAGTTAAATAGGACTGACTTAGGAAGCCGAGACCTTTTTGTATGGAAAAGAGAGAGGGTTCCTGAAGGAGAGAGGCATTCAGGACAGGGACACTTGAGGAGCAGCTGCTCGAGGACATGTGAGTGACCTGAGTGTAGGTGGGCTGACTTAGGGACAAGGCAATGCTGCCTTTAGGCTGTGGGTCACACCCCCACAATGCCAGGAGAGCCATTGTATGACTGTCACATCCACAGAGCAGCCCCCAGGAGTTGTGCAACATGGTCACCCTGCACACTACCTCTTCCTTGTGAAAATCTGAGCCTTAGATGCTTCCCTTGGGAGCTGAGAGAGTCTGCCTTCAGAGTCCAGCCTAGATAATCATTTCATTTTCGTTTTCTCTAATTCACATATAACTATAGCTTGGTGTTTTAGTCTTCTGATGGCCAAGCAAAGGAGAGGAGGTGTTGTCTCATCCCAACTCCTGCCAAGTTCCAGGAGAGAAGGGGTAATGGCCTTTTGGAAGGAATACGGTTCCAGACACTTGGGAGGACCAGGAAGTGGCTCCAGGTGAAGGCTGTGGCAGAGCATCCCAAAGGACGTATGAGAGAAATAACGCTGGATCCAGCCCTGGGAACACCTCCCTGTGCCAGGCTTTCCTGGGAAGGGAGCTCTCCTGGGAAGGGAGGTGGCGCCTGCGGGTACCTCCTGAGTGACAGTTTTCAAGTGCTTTGATTTACATTCTCGGCCCACAGCGTAGACGATGATGAGGGTGCTTATCACTTAGCTTCTGTATATTTTCTTTTCCAGGTTGGGATGGCAATATTCTGGTCCCTTCGGGTCCCTTCTGGCTCTGTCCTGTGGAACCTGAGAGAATTTTCGGTCAGCTCCACCTCAGTGTGGATGTGCCCATGAGATTCTTTCCTGAAGAAAGCGTTTCTCATGGGCTGGGGATGTGGCTCAAGCCGTAGCGCGCTCTCCTGGCATGCGTGCGGCCCAGGTTCGATCCTCAGCACCACATACAAACAAAGATGTTGTGTCCGCCGAGAACTAAAAAAAATAAATATTAAAAATTAAAAAAAAAAAAAGAAAGCGTTACTCATGAAGAACTTGGTGTCCCGGAGAGAACAAGGTCGTGAGAAGGAAGACAGGAGTACAGAGCATGGGTGTTGGCATTTCCTGGCTCTGCCTACACCTCTACTTTTAGCTTTTCCTCCAATAGAACCAGAAATGTCCAAATTTTCCCAGTCAGAATGTTTTGAGGTCTTTGCTCTTTGTTTCCTAACCGTTTGCCTTCCCCCTTAAGCTCTCCCTAGAGTCCTCTGTGGTCACTGTCCCCTCTATGTATGCTTCCCTACCTACTGTGTGACATTTGGCTACCCTCAGCATCCAGGGTTCCTGGATGGGAATAATCCTCACTCAAAGTGAGATGTGTCGGGGAGAGGGCATCGTCCCAGGGAGGCTGTCGGGGTGGCACATGGTGTGAATACCAGCCTGGATAATACAAAAACTCAACATCTGGATTCAGAAGATGGTGGCTGTAGGCCCGGCTCTGGCCCTGACTGGACACATTACTTTGGGCAGCCCATTTAGGTTGCCTGAACCTAGATATCTTTATTTGTGAAGGGAGGAATGTTCAAGATGGTATTTGAGGTCCTTTATTTCAAATGTAATATATATATATATATATATATATATATATATATATATATATATAATATGTTTTCTGTTGCTCTAATAAAATCCTGAGACTGAGAACTTTATAAAGAAAAGAGATTTCTTTATCCCTAGATTATCATTATCATTCTAGAGATTCAAGAGCATGGCACCACCACCTGCTCAGCTCTCTTGAGGCCCCTGCTACATCACAACATAGCACATGGCATCTTGGTGGGTTTGGGGGTGAAAGAGTGAGATCAAGGGTGAGACTGCAAGCCAGAGACAAGGAAGGGGACAGTCTTGCTCTTTGTATGACAGTCCATCTCTCGAGAGGTAACCTGGATCCCACAAGAACTACATTAATTCCTTCTGAGTGTGGCACGCCAGTGATCCAACCACCTTCCACAGGACTCCACTCTTAAAGGTTTGAACCTCAACACCATGACATGGGAGACCAAGCTTCCAGCTGGTCTGGAAGAAAAACCACATCCAAACCACAGGTATATGTTATAACTTTAAAAAAGTTGGTGAAAAGAATCATCAACTTCTTTTCCCCCACAGTACCCATATCTCCCTTATCAACCACTTATGTCAGTTCCCCAAATCCCCATTGATAAATGCGTAACCATGAAAATATTATTCTCCATCCTCCTCCCAGCACTTCAGGCAATTGGCCTTAAAGAGAAGAAGCTCTTTTCCTTCCATGTTGTGACTGTCAAGTTTTTGCCTTTTTGATTCACTCACATCATAGTTCTGTAGGCCATGGCAAGACTCCACCAAAGCCTCAGAGGCTGCTGGCACTGGGAAGACCCCACAGAACTGGGTCTTTTTGGATCCAGTTAGTGACCACTGATGCCTCTGTGGAGGCTGGAGAGGGAGGAAGGGTCCACTGCTCTTCCTCTTGGTCTTAGAAACTCCATCCCTGCCCCAGGGTCCAGAGAAGGAGAGTCGAGTGGCAATCTCAGGTTGGAAGGTTCTGTTCTCTGTGGACCTCTGTCCTTAAATGGACCTTTCCCTCTCCAGAGGTTATTCCCTCAACCAAGCAGAGACTGACCGTGTGTTCTGCCAACACACTTCTACTTTAGATGCTTTATCAAGGTCTACTCTGTCAGCTCTCTGTCGAGAACAGGAAGGTTGAAGCTAAGTATTGGCAGAAACATAAGGTACTAGCACTGGCTAAGAATTACATTTTCCAGCAAACCCCCAATTCCAGAGGAAAAGCAGTTATTTTCAGGGCCCTCTCAATGCTGCCCATAATGCCCAACCTATAGACAGTGAAGAAGAGAGGGTAGACAGGTTTAGGACGTGGGCTGGTGGTTACTGGAAATGGGAATGTGTGTGAATTTAATTTCATCAGAGAAAAGTCAGGAACTGAAGAAAAGACTCTTAAGAATTGTCAAATACTAAATGCTTTTGGTAAAAGGAGCCACATTTTGTGTATCTCTTGGCGTCTAGGAAGAACTGACCATAATTCACCCTGGACAGAAAGATCCAGGGAACTTCAATCATTTATAATTATCTTTGTAGTCAGCAGAATTTTCCTTACAGCTTCAGTTTTCATTGCTTTCCTCTTATTTTATTTGGACCTGAAACGACTGCCTTCCATATTGTATTTGGAAGTGACCCTGCAGAAAGGAGCTTAAACATGGTGACTTTGACCCTCCCTTTCCTATTGTGAATGACACTGAACCTCTTCAACAATCAGTCCTCAAATTGCACTTCATATTATGAGAAAGCTGGATGGGAAGAATGTGCAGAACATGGAAAAATGCGGGTGGTATAACGTTAAGGAAAAGAAGAAGACATCACATCACCCAAGAAAGTGTGAATTGTAGGATGATTCTTGTACATATTTAAGATCTATAGGGAGAAAACTGGAAGAAATATGCCAAAATTCTACTCACGATACCCCAATTTCATTCCTCAGTTTTCCAAGGGTGTCCAAGTGAATCTCTTTTACAAAGTGTGTTTCTGTCAGAAGGGGAATGGGTTGTATCCGTTGGGCAGTTGACATCCTTCTGGTCATTGTCTTCTGAATTTAAGAAAACTGAGTGGGAATCATGCATTTTTTTTTTTTCGGAATAGAAGATCTGTGGGAGATTTTCTTCTGTATGTCTCACCTTTATCTTTGATTTTTCCTAAGCAACCTACACAACACACACACACACACACACAAATACACACATGCATGATCACTCCCTTCTAGCCCAAGCTTCACAGGGGAGGCAGAGCAGTGCCTTGGGGAGGGGTGTTGGGTACAGAGGTCCTGTTTCATGCAGCCATCATTGGAGTGTGTCAAATACCGTCAAATACTGGTCTCAGCCCCCTCTCTAGCCACATGAGATGGTGGTAACTCAGTGGCTGCTGAGGCGGACGTGGGAGAACTGCAGAATCCACAGACGAGGGGCACCTGTGTTCTCCTCCTAATCTTCTAATATGAGAGAACAGAGAAAGGGATTATCCTGGGATTTGGGACTCAGCCCTCCCAATCCCTCTTTTTAACCCCATCCTAAGGGTTGGGATGGAGGAGGGTAGGTGGGAAGACACTAAGACATCAAGGTCGTGAAAACATTCAGCCATGGTCACCCATCACCTCTCCCAGGAGCTTGAGTTACCGTGACCTCATGTTGGGACCCCTGGCTTTCCTATCCCCTAACCTCTGCTCCACAGCAATGCAGTGGCTGAGAGCCAGGGAGCAGGAGTAGATCTTTCAGATGTCAAGTTCAAATCTGAAATTCTCCCAATTTACTGGTCCATCACCATTCCAATAACCAAATTACCCCCACCCCACCCGGGGCCTTCTAGATGTTATACATGATTGCTTTTCTATATTTATCTGGTTGGAGTCCCAGGCTAGGAGGTCAAATTCCTGGTCTAGTTTTCTGTGAAAATCATTTAGCTTTGCTCATGTCTGTGGCCAGGGGCTGCTGCTTCCTTGGGCTTGGCCGTGACTTGTGCTAATGGTGTGGCTAGGAGCAAGGATAACGACGCTGGTGTTTGTGAGTGCTTGGAATGTGTCAGATACCGTCAGAGCAGCACCTGTGCCGACTCAGCCAGGGCTCATCTGAGCTCCCAGGGGACGTTCTGTTATTAGCTCCATTTGTCAGATGAAGAAGCCGAGGAGGCACAGAGACAAGAAAGTCACCCAATGACCTCACCCTGGGAAGGAGCAGAGCCTACTTCTGAGTGGAAGCAGTGTGGTTCCAGAGTGCACTGTTATCCCTCTGTCATTGGGGTTACTGCTGCCCTGACAAGGGAGCATGGGTGACCCAGGGATGCATCCCCAACGTCTAGAAAGCAATCATTTGAATATGGTAGGCAGGAAAGGGGCTTGCTGGCCACCTTGGCATGTGAAGATGCCACCTTGCTGAGGTTGTTCATCTGTGTGTCCCCAGTACCACCATGGTACCAGGCACAGAGTGAGCATGGCGGGCTTAACTGAATGAATGAATCATTGACTTATTACGTTTATTCTCTTGGGTGTCCTGATGCTTATGCTACCCAATGTTCAGCTCTGTCTTCCTCTCTGACCTGGAGAAGTTGACTTCCCCCAAGTTTTTCTAGGGAGCTGTGAACTGATTCCTCTCAAGCTCATTGCTTGGGAGGAACTTCAAGACACTGGGACAAGGTTGGGGTTTCATGGTGCCTGTGTGGTTTATGGCAAAGTGCTTGCTCTCTCTGAACCCAAAGTGGAGACTGTTCCCACTGAAATTATGTAAAGATGGGCAGAAAATGCCCCCAATCTGGGTTTCAAGAAGGTTCTCCTGTGGCCATAATGGTCAAGAAGGGTCATACTCTTTCTTGAAGGCTTATCTGAGAAGGAACATGGGGGCTATGTTGGTGGATGGAGGTGGTGAGTGGTGTGGGGAATCTTGAAAGCTGGCCATTTTTTTTTTCAATTTTACTTATTTTATTATTTTTTTTAGTTCTACGTGACAGTAGAATCTATTTTGATGTATTTATACAAACATGGACTATGTCTTATTCTAATTAGGACCCCAGTCTTGTGGATGTACATGTTGTTGAGATTCACGAGGGTGTATTCATTTATGTACATAGGAAAGTTATGTCAGATTCAGTCCACTGTCTTTCCTATTCCCCTCCACCCTCCCTTCCCTTTATTCCCCTCCGTCTTCTGCACTAAACTTCTATTCTTCCTCTCTCCCCGTTGTTGTGGGTTAGCATCCACATATCAGAGAGATTATTAGATCCTTCAGATTCTTAGTGCATCTGGGTTTCTTGTAGCTTTGTGCCAGCTTGAGCCGTGTTTGTAGGACTGTGTCAAGGGGACTGCAGCTGCAGGTGAAGCAACTCATTCCCAATTTCCACAGGATGAAAGCAAACACTTTGCCCTCAAAGGCACAACTAGCTCTGCCAACTCCCAGCCCCAGAAGCTGGCCTGAGATTCTGGTGTGATAAGTGTGGCATTCTGGGTATCGACATGCAAATATGCAGGGCATGATATGTGTGGGTGGCAGAGGGACAGTCACTTGCAGGTTTAGGGAGTCCTCCCCAAGGGACTGTCAATCTCTTCCTAATGAAGTGACTTAAGAGTAGCAGAGTAGAGACAGGGAGAGAAGAGGCCAGAGAAGAAAGAGGAGAGAGAGAGAGAGAGAGAGAGAGAGAGAGAGAGAGAGAGAGAGAGAGAGAGAGAGAGAGAGAGAGAGAGAAGGCAGGAATGGAAGCTGGCTGCCGGGACACCGCTCATGTCAGAGGGGTACCTGAGACAGGGCTTGCCATGAGGCCTCAGGGTGCCCTGGCTGCCTGGCCACCCGGGCTCCTCCCACCTGGCTGCCTGCCGATTAGGAGCTTTACCTCCTTCCCTCTCCGGAGCTGACCTCAGTTTCTCCAGCTTGTTCTCATACACAGAAATTGCCCCTGCCCCATCCGGGTTTTGTCCAAGGCCCAGAGCTGCTTGTTTCTTGTGTGCTCCCAGGGGCTGGGCTCAGCTCTCTGGCCGCACATCATCCTTTCATCGGACTCACTCAT